AGATTTAGGGACCAAAATCTGAATTAATTAATGTTCTTAATGCACTCTCAGATGGTAAATAATAGGATTGCTCATATTTGGCACAATATAATTTTATATTTGTATTTTAAATCATTTTAATTTCTTCACATTCCCAAAACTCAATGCAAAAGAGAAGGATACTTTAGTAAATTTGAACTCTTCATTTCAAAACTTCGTTTATTTTTTATAAGTTTGCTTCTGACTTTTAGCAAATAGTTTAGTTAACTTAGTTCTTGTAAATACATTTCATTTAGGACACGTTCAATTTACTTTAGATTTTTTTTGCTTACTTAAGTTTTATATTTTGAATATTGAGTTTGACGTTATAATCATAAGAATTTCCAACTCCCTGTGGGACCGATACTTAGGACTCCATTAGAGCCCTTTATTACTTGAGTGATACATATACTTGCATTATTATTATGGGGTTTGGTAGCTTATAGATATTAAAAGATAAAATTAGTTTAACTGAATTTATTTTTATTGGGATTGAACTGCATACTTACTATTAGTGTTGTCATGTGTGTGTTGTAATATTGAAAGACATTTATAATGCACATCTCAGAAATCGACTGCCACATCATTATCTAATCGAGAAATTAAAAGAATATTGAAAAAAACTATAAATCCTAATAGAAGAGATTGATCTGTTGAGATTGATCTGTTAGACTTGATTTCGCGTTATGGGCTTATAGGACTGCTTACAAAACTTCTATAGGAATGTCACCATATGTGCTCATATTTAGAAAAGCTTATCTGTTACCTGTTGAATTAGCTCATAAAGCTTTTTGGGCAATAAGAGAGTTTAATGAAAATTTGAATGATGCTGGAGAAATATGATTACTGAAATTAAATTAACTTGACGAAATGAGAAATGAATCTTATTAGAATGCCAGAATTTATCAAAAGAAAATGAAAATACGACATGATTAAAGAATTCTAAAAAAGCATTTCTAGCATGGACAATAAGTTCTATTATATAATTAAAAATTGCAATTGTTCTAGGAAAACTTAAGTCCAGGTGGTCAGGACCATTTTTTATGATAAGAGTTTATCCAAATGGAGTCGTTGATTTTCAAGATCCCAAGACTGGAACGATAATTAAGGTAAATGGACACATGTTAAATTCTTATATAAGTGGAGATAGGCCTACATTTGAAGAGATCTTATTGTTGGGTCAACCAGATTAAAACATTGGATATGTCAGGCTGACGATGTTAAACCAAGCGTTTTGTGGGAGGCAACCCATAAGAAGACAACTAATAATTATCGGTGTGATTGACCTGTTTGTTGATTACTATTGTAACGATTTTTTGATGTAAGTTGGAGTCTTACATGATTATGTTGGCAAAAAAAATTATTATTTTAATTGAATTAAAGATAAGACGAAAGAAATTAGGAGTTTAAAAAAGTTGGTCTGGTGCTATAGCACCATAGTTCGAGTAACTTAGTTGGAACAACCCAAGTTCGGTTTTTTTACCTCTTTTTTTCTATAAAATGGTCTAGGATAGGAAAGGAAGCATCCCTTTGACTTTTCTAAGAAATTTTGAGAGCTTTGAGAGCGGAGAAAGCAATTTCTACTTTAAGGATTATGCAGAGCAATGGCAATGGGAGATTTGAAGATAAGAAGATGGTGCATAAGGATGCTTGGACTTACTTTATTGAAGTAATTTCTTCTCTATCTAAAAGAGCAAGTGCTAGTTTGGTCAAACAAATTTCAGTATCCATTAAAACATTAATCAATGATTTTCTCATTTTATAGGTATTTTTAATTTTTTTAAAGAATTTTAAAGACCGGGTTTAATGAAATCTTAATTCTTATAAAAGGGGATTTCTTAGCTTTATGGCTTTTGGGAGAGGAGATAGGTAAGGGAAAATAGTTTAAAGTTTTTTTTTATTGTAAAAAAGTATTTAAAAAAATAATTATAAAATTTTTAACAATTTTTAAAGTGGTTTAGAGTGTCCAATTTGTCTCAATAACTAGCCTAAGCAATTGTGGAAGAGATACTTGGCTAGTGGCTTTCAAGAAAATAACAAACCTGTTTTTGAAAGTACGAGTTACGAAAAATATTTACAAAGTGTTTGGGAATTAACAAAAAAAAAAAGAAAACAATAAATTACTCATTATAAAGAAAAAAATATTTACAGTGTTTGGGAATTAACAAAAAAAAGAAAACAATAAATTACTCATTATAAAGATTAGTAAGAAGAGATCACCAAATCTATCTCGGGGGTTGAAACAAACCGCCAATTAGTTCTCCAGGTGTTGTCTAACTTAATTTCTTGTCACCACCAACATTCAACTTCTTTTCATTCTAGCAAACAAAGTATTCAAGTCCTTACACAAGATAATTCAAATGCTAAAATGAGGGAAAGGAAGAGTGGTCAGTCCTAAGTGTTTTATTATTTTTTTTCTTTTGATTATTGCAAATAAAGAATTTTACACAATTAGAAAGTTTAAATTTCAACAATTAATATAATACGAAAGTTTAAATCTTTAAAATTTTTCATATCATCAAAACTCACATTTTGAAACGTAGTCATCCATGGCAAATTTTACATATACGAGTATCAAATAAAAATCATAAATGCTAAGTAACTTTTTCAACATGCGTTGACTCCTTATCTTCAGTCCATCTTTTCTTATATTGACACCTCATGTGAGATCAGCATTCCCATCAAAATATTCATTGCTTTATTTCTAAACCCCAGAGGTTATGGGCAAGGGCACATGGTCAAATACTTTTGCATGTGGTAAAAAAAAGTTTATCTAACTACTTGAAGGTTTTTCACTGTTTTTAAAGTGTTTTAAGACAACTAATTTGTCTCTAGAACAAGACTAGGCCTTATTGAACGAAAGACCGGGCAGCCGCTTTTTAGCGAGTGAAGGATGGGATTTTGTGAATAAAAACTACCAGACGTACAATTCACAATGTGATTGGGAAATAATAATTGATGCAAATAATAAAAAGAAACAAGTAGGGTTTATAATGACAATATTTCAATCACTCACCAAACAATTAGAAATAAAAAGATCATGAAATCCTCTTCACAAGGTGAAGCTAGCCATGAAGATTCTCCAAATGCATGCTCGCTCAATTTCTCATCACAATCAACAATTAATTCCCTTGTATTCCAAAAAACAAATAATCCTTACACATAAGATAATTCAAATGATAAGATGAGGAAATGGGAAAAGGGTCATGGCCATTTGGTTTTTTTTTTAATAAAATTTTCATTCTTTTGCTTTTAATTATAAGAAGTAAACATTTTCACATAATTTAGTTAATATTATTCCGAATTTTAAAATAATTAACTTGAAATTTTAATATAATGAATTTTAAATTGAAACTTTCATGATAAAGAAGTTTAAATTTTTAAAACTTTTCAGATCATCAAATTTTGCGCACGTTGTCTAAATTATGAAATTTGATATATAAGATTATCACATAAAAAATGATAAATACTATGTACAATTTTCAATCATGCTTCAACTCAATATGGCGGGTCCACGTTTACTCGTGCTGAATTCTGCATTGCTAGAACGCATATTTCATATATTTAGATTTTTTTAAGAGAAACTACAAAACATAAAATCTTAGTGCGAGAATTAATTATCCATAATGCGGTCCACAAACATTGGAAATTTATCTACTGGATCAAAATTAAAAATTCGCGTGGTGCGAGAACTATATATATCGAAAATGCCGACGATATGATGGGGGCAGATATCCCCTTAAATTTGCAAATTGCATAATATATTTTTTTCATGTAGCTTGCGAAATTTAATAATTCTGTCCATTTCGTGATTTTTTTTATCATCCAAAATAACAAAAATTATTCTACGCGGTATTCTATCTCTACCGCCCATCAAATTTAAAAAAAAAAATTAAAAATAGGGCATACCGTTATGTTGTGATGAAGGGTGAAGATTAGACATGCATATGATATCCGTATAAAATATTTTTTTCCAAAATAACATTGAATCCGGCCACAAGTACTTATATACATTGAAAACAAATTTAATAAGTCCATATTATTTTGGGACCACACATGTGAATAACGTGGGGAGGTTTCATCTAGATGCAAAAGGTACAAGTTTTTTTCTTATTCAATTTTTTGGATGATATCACTCCCGTCTAGATGAATCGTTCCGGCAGCCTACTGAAACAAATTCGTGCTATGAAAATTTTTGGATGTGCCGACGAAATAATGATGTGGTGATTAAGCATTTCCACCTGCTTCGTAAAATCCATATAATAAATTAAAAATATATATGTACCTGATGCATCAATATGTTACAACCAAATATTGAATAGAGAGATATGATTTTAATAAAATAGAATTATAATAAATTTATTATTAAGGAAATAAGACATAGTAACCACGACACACACACACGAATACATATACATAGATATATAACCATTAAGTTACAACCGCGTATTGATAGTGAAATATGATTTAACTCAAATATAAATTATATTAAATTTATTATTAAAGAAATAACACATATTGACCATCACATAAATAAATATATACATATACATACATATATATATATATATATTAGATTTTTTTTTTGTAGAAATGTGTATATATGAAATTTTTATGTCTTTACATATCTTAGACTTAAATTTTAATATTTACATGTGATATTTACATCTTTAAAGGAACATTTACAACAATAAGTACATACCTTTTTAAGACGAATATACATTTTTATTCATATGTTCTAATATGATTATATCAAATGTCATGTATATAAATTTTAAATAGTAAGAGTTAGATGTATCAATGCACCACTTTTTTTTTTTTTTTTGGTTTCTTATTTGAATTCTCCATTTACATTCGTACATATGGCAGGAACCAGTGGGGATGAAAATTCATTGCCAGCTTTGATACTATGTACCAACTTTATGAATAGTTTTAATTTTGATGAAACCTTTACAAATAAATTTAATGGCAAGATGGCCGCTTCATTTTCCTATTTAAACACCAAACTCTCCTTCTTCTACCAAGCATTCCATCACTAAATATCCTTATATAAGTTCATCTCCTGTCCTTCTAATAAGCAAAAATGGCAGAAGAGCATCACCACCACCACCATCTCTTCCACCACTCCAAGGAGGGAGAACAGACTACTACTGAAATTGACTATAAGAGAGAGGAGAAGCACCACAAGCACAAAGAGCATTCCGGCGAGCTCGGTGCCATAGCCGCTGGTGCTTTTGCACTGGTAAACATGTTTAAATTAATTTAATTGTTAATAATAATCTTTCCAACCCAAACAATCACTGATCATCAATTATGGCTCATGCAACATACTGTTCTTCATGTAATTTAGTCTTCGTTTTTGGTTCATAACTAAGGCGTATGGTAAAAAAATAAAAAAAAAAAGTTGAAATTGTGCGGAAGAGAGATTTCCTTTTTGTTCACAGCAAATTTCTTTTCTTCAGCGAGTACTCGTAGGATTAGTTTGTTTTTTTCTTTTCTTTTTTTTTTATTTTCTTTATTTTATTTTTTTGAAAGTACGTAGGTTTAGTTTGTTGGAATAATGAAATTGGGAGATGAAGAAGGTGTGATCTCTCTGCTAGTTTTCTTAAATTTTTTATTCAGAAATTTTGATATTCATAAATATATAAATGAAAATTTAGAGAAAGTTTAAATGATCAGAAGAAAAATAGGCTGGCCATGTCTTAATATTATATTACTTACAAAGGTAATTTAAATAAGTATAATGGGAAGAAAAAAAAAATTCTGTAATGATTATAAAACATACACAGATTTTTCATGTTGGTGTTACTACTGCTACAATGGTTTTACAATTTTGTTCAGGTAAATCCCCTGGATTACCAAAAAATTTGTTTAAAAGACTAGTAAATTAAATTTCCTTGGACATCCTGACACACTTTTGTTAGAATATTATTTCTATTCATTAAATTTTGTGAGATCTGTGTAATTAAAAAAAAAATTGATTAGTTAATTAATTTATCATACCATCTCAAACTAAGTTTCAAATTTCAATTTTCTTTTTTTTCTGCTCATATATAAGTTAGAATATTCTTATCAAACATTATTTCAAAAAGCAGTGCCTTTAGTATAAACTCAAATCCATTTAAAAAATATCATGCTCTCATTGTTTCATACAAAAAGAAAATAAAAAAAAAAGAAAATCCCTTTATAAGTTCTTGCCACCAAATATCTATCCCAAAACCATTAGCTTGACCTATCTCTATTGTTTGCTTAAGATAAAATTTTTGAAATACTCTCCCATAAGTTATGGTTCGCCCAGCCTCCATGTTTTACAGATTAATAATTCATAATAATTATTTTTTTTTTTTTTTTTTTGCAGCATGAGAAGCACAAAGCGGAGAAGGATCCTGAGCACGCCCATAAGCACAAGATAGAAGAGGAAATTGCAGCAGCTGCTGCAGTTGGTGCGGGTGGCTTTGCCTTCCATGAGCATCACGAGAAGAAAGAAGCCAAGGAAGAGGAGAAGAAGCACCATCACCACCACTTTTAAAGCTTTGAACTATATCATTACATCCATTACTATGTGTTT